CAAAATGCGCTAGAGGTTTGAATTTGATAATTGATTCATATAGCTAAAATGGATTCGTAGGCGGATTTGGAGGTATACTTGAAATCTGTCCCAGAATCCCCTTTTTGCCCTATATAAAATGCAAGAATTTATTCATTTAAACTTTAGAATTTTGAAATATTAATTATTATAATAATATATTAAATGTAAAATATATTTTATATTTTTTTAAAAATATAATTTTTAAAATAATTCTATTTATACTATAAAACCTATTTAAGCTTAAACCAAGAATTCCATAACAAATATTTTCGATACCAATTATTTATAAGTAAATAATTATACATGAAAGATTTTAAACCAATCAAATTTCCCAAGAATTTAAATCACATGATTCAAAGGCTTGCGTTGGGTAAGAATTTGCGTTAAAAAATGTCATTTTAATTTTAATGCTTGTAATGCTTGTAATAGCTATTATATTTTTTTTATTTTTTTTTTTTTTTAGGGGTTTCTTTACCTTCACAAATTTATAATTAGATAAAAATTGTTTCAAGCAAGAGTATGCTAATTCTAAGTTTGGGTTTTAATTGGAGTATGACAAGGTGTAATGAATAATATAACTATCACTTTCAATTAATACTATTGGACTTATTTCACAAACATTGAAGTGGTTTTAGGCAATCATTATTTTATCGCTCATCATTTCTAGAATCATCTCAATAGATAGAAATGGATTTCTGGATTTAATCAAAAAAAAAAATCCTCAATGGCAGAAAAGGAAATAACGTGGGGACAGAAACTGCACATGTCGTTGATTACATGATATGCAGCGAGTACAGCATGTTTGGTACAATGCGTTAAATTATTTTAAAAAGATGTATAATAAATACTTCAAAAAAAAAAATTGTATTTTTGTTTATAAATAGTATTTTTACCAACTCAACCTTCCTTTTCCAAACTAGAAAATCTCTCACAATCATGTTTTATCCTATTGTTAATTTGTTCGAAACAATTCGAACAAGAATAAAAGTTGATTTAAATTAAAGCATATTCGGATTCAATTTCGAATCAAATTAAATTCACAAGGTATTATTATTTGACCGAGCATTATGTTTCACGTACGTTTCGTGCGTTACCAAAATTAAATTACGTTACTAAATGATGGTGGTTGTATTCATTCCCGACTTAAACCGCCGGGTATTTCACTAAACCCGGGGTGTCTAAATTGGGCTTTTGAATAATAAACCGGGGGTATATTGATGGCTTATACAGTTAATTTCGGAATGGACTCCGATCTATTACCATTTTTGATTATTTTTATAACCAGAAGAATCGCCAAAATATTTTTGTCAAATAACTCCTCATAAATTAAATTTTCAATGAAATTAAAACATAAGTCAAAATTGCCAAAAGATTCCCAAACTAAAGAAACTAAAGAAACTAAAGACGCAAGTCGTTATCGTTGGCTAGAAGAGTTAATTGTCAAAGAAGGCATAAGATACTTTGAATATTCAGACTTCAGAAATATACAGCCGATTGGAAAAGGCTCGTTTGGAAACGTCGTGCGTGCTAATTGGAAAGGTTTTAGCACTTTTTTCGCTTTGAAATCCTTCAACAGCAATAGTAAAACCCTTAAAGAAGTTGCCAAGGAGGTATATAAATCGTCATATTGTTTTCTACATTTAATTTTAATAAAAATTTGAACTTCCATTAACACTTTTCTATATTACCCGCAGTTAAGATTACATCAAATTGTTTTTTTTAACGAAAGTATTATACGTTTTTACGGAATTACCAAAATAGAAACCGGTAAGTTATTTAGAAGTTATTGGATGGAACGTAATCCCACATACAACAAATACATTATCGTTAATGTCTTTAAAGCTACGATAATTAGTAAATTTTAAATTTTAATTATTTTGAAAAAAGTTTCGATCTTTTAATTCAGCGTAGTCCGTGATTTTCTGAACGATAGAGAATTTTTTTTCTTTTTTTCTTTTTAAAATATAATTAATATAATTAACCTTTTTATTTTTATTCAGAATCAGAGAAAAAATATTCGCTAGTTTTGCAGTATGCTGATAGTAGTACACTAAAAACCTACTTAAATGATCATTTCGATGAACTACAATGGAATGATAAGCTGCGCCTAGCATTGCAATTGGCAAATGCCGTCTTGTGTTTACACGAGTTTGATATCATTCATCGTGATTTGGTAATATTTTTTATTCTATTTATTTTTCCTTTTGCAAATTGTTTGTTAATTTGATTGCTGTCATGAAAATTTAAAAATCTAACCGAAACAAAAATAAAAAAAAAAAAATGGTGATTAAAGCATGCCGATAATATACTCGTACATCAGAAAAATATCAAATTGTCCGATTTTGGATTATCACGAAAAATCGCCGAAGCTCCGAGTGATATGTTGCAAATATTTAGCGTAATACCTTATATAGATCCAAAATGGTTCGGTAATAAAAATCAAAATTTCGAATTAAATAAAAAATCGGACGTATATAGCGTTGGAGTTCTGTTGTGGCAAATTTCAAGCGGACGTAGACCATTTTATGCCAAAGACGTAAATTATGATATAGGTTTGGCCTTTGAAATAATAAATGGAAAGAGAGAAAAGGTTATTGACGGTACTCCCATTGAATATAGCAACTTGTATCAAGGTAAATTATATTTAAATAATTTTTTTTTTTTAAAAAAAAGGATAAATTTATGTATTTATATATTTATATTATATATTTAGAATGTTGGAATCTTGAACCAAACCAACGTCCGGATATGCAAAAAGTTTTTTCAACCCTTGATCAATTAAAATTACCTAAAAGTCATGTCAATATTTTTATGCCATCCGAAATAACATCTGATATCATTCAAGAAGATATTCATAAATATAATGCAACTAAATGGATTGAAAATGCCTTAAAGGTTGGAAAAGTTAACTCTATATCCTTTAAAGAATTGAAAAAACCGAAATCACTTAATACAGGAAATTTTGGATGTATTATGAAAGCAATTTGGACCAAAACAAACAATTATGTCGTTTATAAAAAGTTGACCAATACAGAAGCAATTAGAGGTGATGTATTGGAAGCTTTTATCCATGAATTACAAATCCACTTGCGTCTTGATTATAGTGAACGAATCGTACGTTGCTTGGGTATTAGTCAAGGTAATGGTTAAACTTTAGCTCGCCTCTTAAATAAGAAAATTATTTTTTATTTATTGAATAAGAAGTAATTTAAACTGTTGTTATAGATCAAATTACAAAGGAATACCTTCTTGTAATGCAATATGCCAACGGCGGTGATCTTCAAACCTATCTCAAAAATAAGTTTAATGGATTAACTTGGGACGATAAGAAGAAATTAACATATCAAATTGCTGATGGTTTAAATTATTTACATAATGAAAATATTTTGCATAGAGACCTTGTAAGTATCATCCTTATTATAAACTTTTCAATTCAATTATAATTACAAAATTAATGATTGAAATTTGAATTTAGCATTCCAAAAATATTGTCATACACGAAAACAATGCCAAAATCACGGATTTTGGCATTTCAAAAAATGAAAATATTCAAGATTCTACCATTCATAATGGCATTTTTGGTTGCATTCCTTATATGGAACCAAAGCGTATTTTGGATCTGAAATTCCCATATACTAAATCATCAGATATTTATAGCTATGGCGTATTGATGTGGGAAATTTCTAGTGGATACCCTCCATTTGAAGATTATATTATAAAAAATAATATAATTCCGCTTGCTGTTACCATTAATAAGGGAACTCGTGAGAAAACAATCCCGGGTACTCCTAAAGATTATGAGTTACTTTATAAAAGATGTTGGAGACAAGAACCTGAGCGAAGGCCATCTATTGAAGAGGTACTGGACGAATTTTCAAAGATGAATTTTGGAACTAAAAGTCCATCAGTTAAAGGTATAAGCATATAAATAAAAACATGTAAAATCAAGTCACATACATACTGTATATTAATCTAATTCGATTTATTAAAGATTTATATGTAGAATTTGACACGGAAATCGCTGACAATCATAATAATTCAACTTCGGAATCACAATTTATTAATTTCTTGGAAAATCATTAAGGTAAGTTTTTTTTAATCTACTTATCTTATCTAATATTTAAACCATAATTAGTAGTATTAAATCTTTATGAAAGGTTAAAAAATGGTTTCGCTTACTGTAATTTGAAAACTTTATAATAATACGCGACATAATAGTCATTTCACGGATTTCTAATTGTTTGGCAATTAGAAACGTGACGTGAGATGAACATCTAATTAATTTAAAAATAATTTATAATCATCTTATCAAAACTTATTAAAATTAAAAATAAGATATTTATCAGATACAGTTTTTTGAACATTATATAGTGAATGAAGGCTAGGAAAATCAGGCTCGGGGAATTTTAACAAGATTGCATTTGATTTTTGATGTTATGAGATTAAGATCTATATATTACAAAAAAATTCTCAACTTGATTTCCTAGCAAAAATCCATTATCGTTATGCTTTCTTGTCAGATCTAATTCCATATTTTAAATTCATGTAACAAAAAATATTTTTGGAATTTTCGAGCGAAACTAATTTGATGGTTTCGGGCGCTTTCGAACTATAGGATTAAAAAAAAAAACTCTGGCCGAGTTTTGAAAATCGTTTCGCAGCCCGAATCAGTGTAGTTTCTATCAAAATCAAAAAATAAAAATGCAAAGATTACACTTTATAATATCAATGTATAAAAGTGAATCATCATCGCAAGAAATTTATTTTTTATTTTATTTTAATACAAGGAATTGTTTCGCTACATTCCAAAGATCAGAAAATGAGATTTTACAGATTTTTCAGGTGAAGATTTTGTCAATAAAGAGATATTTGGCTAATACTTTGATTTGGTTGCTATTTATTAAATCATTTTTAATAGCTTGACGTTCGGGAAGATTGTATCATTGTAGGGTATCAATTTTGTCTTATTCCTTTATTAACAATAACTCGTTAAACATTGGGTTTCTTATTTTGGTTTGTGATCAATCTTTACTGCAAAAGATCTGTCGCGCTTTATTTCCATCTTCGATCGATCATGATTGTAACTATCGTCAAAGTCTTGATTCGATCAATTGGTTGACGCGATCAATAACCAGTGAATTTATAAATGAAATCCTCAAAAAAAGTTATTTGATGTTCACTTTTATTCGCAAGAAATTCCTTATAATCCAATTTCAAGAAGAGGTCAGATGCACAATATTAGCGCTTTTGCAATTAAATGACATGACGACGAAACGTAATTAAATTATTTGATCTACATGAATGCAAGTGGGATTTGGGAACACGACGTTTAATCTAACTCGGATCAATATCCGATAAGAATTTATCACATCACAAAATTCTCGTTAAAAACTTCCGGATATCAATTGGTTAATCAACCATCATGACTTCTTTTCATTTCTTCTTTACAATGAAACATTTTCTAATTTAAATTTAATTATTACATGTAATAAATATTGTCCAATTACCAAGTTTTTTTTTCAACCTTCTAAATCTAGATTCAGAATTGACTAAAATTTTCGACATTATAATTACATTAGTTAAATTATTTTATTCTTTATTCTATAAACCAAATTCTGTATCTTCTAAGCAAAAGGCATGCTACAAAATTAATTTGGTGACATGTAATTAAGAATAATTTATGCTGTGTCACACATGCTGAAAATAGATCAATTAAAATATATTTGTTACCAGGTAAAAAAATTTTGTCTGATCCTTTAATCCTTCCCCTTTATTTTTTTTTTAAAAAAAAAGAAGTGGGAGAAAATAATTGATTTGGCAAATAAGATTGCCCCCCAAATTTTTTATTTTATTTTATTTTTAAGTACATTTCACCGAATAGATAATTTTAGATGCAATATTTCGCGGTTACACGACGATACTCGAAATTGATTGATCGTCTATATGCTTAGGAAAGATCTGAATGGGTTAACTTTTTTGATGGGTAATTTATTTTTTCGTTGCTGATATATTGTCGCTTTGCCGGAAAATTTCAAAATTATTTTTACATGCCAATTATATTCTCCGGGCTGAAATAAATCCATATTATCTTTATAATTTTTTTATTTTTATTATTATTATTAATTGTTAAATTTAAAATGGAATCTTTGAAGTTCGAAATATTAAGCAAACCTTATTTTTTTTTTACCAATTAAAATTTTTTTCATTGTTACAATTATATTTTTATATTTTGTACACCACAAAGAGTTACATCTAGCTTTAAGATACTAAAAATATCTACAAAAATTGAAGAGATTAATGTTATAATCTACGTTTTAAATAGTTTTTCGAAGGTTCGAATAATCAATTTTGTATTTCGAACGGAATTCCTCCCCCTAATATTCATTTTGTTTATATAATATCGCTTGATCAATAAAATTTTTGAAATTTTTTTGAAAGATTATCTTAATTCAAAATGGGACTAATACAATCAATAACATTTTCTGTTTATGGCTAAATTCCTAATTTGCAAAACCGATTAGGTTTAATTTTCAAAACACAGTCCTCCCGAACTCGAGTTGAACTAGTTAAGCCAAAGACCCTGGTGCTTTCCAAATTAGTAATTTTTATATGTTTTTTAAGTGTCAAATATGCGAATATCCGAAAATCTATTTTCAGCATGTTACTTTTCATAAATCACATTTCAAAAAGGTCGTTTGCCGAATATTCTTGTCATTCGACAGTAAATCATGCAACTTTTTTTTTTTTGTATGCGCAAAAAATTTTTATATTACAAGTTTTCAACTAAAAAAAAATATATATATCCAAGAGAAAGGAAGGATGATGAAAGTTATTATAAATCCTTGAATATATAGAAGTGAGATAAAAAGCATGCTCCCCGATGACTACAATTTGTTTTATGGGGATGATTTAATAATACATAATTTGATCAGTATAAAAATCATTAGTTTCCCTAAACAGGCAAACCGTGGTTATATGCCGAGAATCAATGTGATTTTAGGTTCTTTTACTTTAACCAACCATGCACAGTACCTTCAACAATACTAAAAAAAAAGTACATATTGTTTTTTTTTTATTTTTTTATTTTTTTTTTATTTTTTTTATATTTTTATTATTTTAAATTCATATTATCATATTTTATTTTACGAGGGTAAAATAAAGTTGTTAAATAAATTTCTTAAAGGAAAAAGAAAAAAAATAAAATAAAGCGAAAAGAACTAAACTTGTTAATAAAACTCCGATATTAAAATAGCATTAAATAAAATGCGACGCGATGTGCGAAATTTTTTTTTTCAAAAAAGAAGAGTAAATAAAATAAAAAAAAACGGAGTAATCATTATATATAATATATATATCAACCGACAAAATTTTTTTTTAAAAAAAAAAAAAAAAAAAAAAAGCGCGCCTAAAATGAAATAGAACGCCTTTTAATTGAATATCGAAATATAAATGAAAATTCTTTCGGACATAATATACATAATTAGTTTGGTATCAATAGTTAATTTCATAAACTGTTGGAATAAGTGAGTTTTGGTTGTAGACTTAATTACGTTACTGTACATCAATCTAAAGAAAAAAAACATCTAAAGAAAAAGAAGAATGAATGTAATTTAACAAAGAGGCCTTATTTTTTTTTATTTTGTCTTTATACAAAAATAAACTTACATTCATAATATAAAGAAAAGAATGATTTATCGATTGAATTCGTTTTTCATGATGATGAATCTTCCTTTGAAAGATAAACATTCATTTGAATTCGTCTATATCGCAATGATTGTTAAGAAAAAGAATATAAAAGTAAAAAGAACGAAATGTGCAATAAATTCTTTTTTATCGTTAAAGAATTCATAATTATTGTTGGTTAAAGGAATGTTGAAGTATATTGGGTTTTTATTGAATTAAAACCAAAGAGCAAAAAAAAAAAATAAAAACATCCTTTATTTATACGTGTGAATTGTCTATTTTTAGCTCAGAAACCCCAAAATACGAGTTGTATGTAAACAACCCCTGTTTTTAATTATTTGTATGAAAAAATTCGTGGATTGATTTTTAATTTGTATAGAATGTTTAAATTACCCTAATAATAACACTCTTAACATTATTTTAATCTTGTTACCAAATCAAGAATAAACGAACCTGTTTTAACAATTTAACATTTTCCTCTAAAAAGAATTTGTTGAAAATTCCAAGTTGGGTTTCAAACTGTCTCAAAAAGAAATAATAATATCTATATTCGGTATGAACAACCGACCTTAATTGGGCGTGTAACGCAAATATCAACTTTTAACTTGTAAAATTTTGTGGTTGTCTGTATAATATTTCTCCGTTTGTAATAAATATTATGTGTTACAAATGTTATAATGCGTCGTCTTGCTACACAACCATAACGAAGAGAAAAAGCAATTAATCGATTTGATTATCCATGATTTTAGGTTTAATTTATCCATTTATAGGAGGAGGTTGATTTGCACAAGCATTACAGAATAAAAAATTTTTAAGCCTTCATTGTATATATAACCTTTACGCCTTGTTTGTTTCGGATCAAATATCTAGACATGATTCCAAGTTGACATTAATCATGATTTAAACCAAATTTCTAACGAATTCAGGAAATGTTACGTAAAAAGCCATTTATTGGTTGACATCACCTGACGGATTTTCGTGATACACACGTGATACCCTTTGGGGAAGTCATAACAATGTCATGATATGAAGATAGGGCCGGATTCGATTCGATTTAGATAAAGTGATATGCCAATAATCTAAAAAGGTATGCATTATTAATAAAGGCTTAATTTATTTAATGAACAATTTATCGTCAAGTCTCATTAGAGGAATTAGAGGAGAGTTCCAATAAACGTCAAATGATGATAAAACAAATTGTTATTGGTATGTTATAAAAGGTAATTTAAATGATATTGTTTAAAAGGGCTACCTTTCAAAGCATTATTTTTAAATGATGCATGTATTAGGACGAAACATTAATTGATTGGTGATGATATGCGGTGATATCCATATGGTGATTCTTATTAGCTTAGACTTTAGGTCATTGCCAATCGGATCCGCCTTTAAATTACTATTTTCTGTCACAAAACTTTAAAATTTTCAATACAATCGGGATATTTTAAATAAAAATAATGAAAGGAAAGTTTGATTGATCTATTGAGATTTCTTCTTAGGGAAAAAGACAACTCATCCAACTCGTTTAAAATTCAGGGGTAGAAGAAAAACATATAAATTTTTGTCTCGTTTGTTTTTATTTTTCTATTTACCTAATCGTTCGTAACTAGATAAATAATAATCTGTAATTATTTTAAATTACCTTCAAAGAATCATTTTATTTTATTTTTTTTTACTTAATATTTATTATTAATCTCCAAAGGATGTTTTTTATTTGTTTACTTCAAGAAACGCGATTTATTTATTGCTACACGTAAATAATACATTCAATAATTCATTCATAATGATAATGACATTATTTGTTTATTGAGAGAAGCACAAAAAAAAAATAATTAATTATTTTTTATTTATGGGTATCTTCCATTAATATATTTTGTTTTTTATATATTGTAGTATAAAGAAGCTCATTCTTTTTTTCCCCTCAAATAATTTTCTTTATTTTTATTTCTTTATTATTACATGCAAATAATCGTCTTGTCAATACAATACGTCTTATTAAAATATTAAACAAGGAATAAAGTTTTTTTGTTCTTTTTCTTTTTATACCTGCACCACACTAATACACCGCAAATAAGTACCTATTTTTTTGTTTTCCCTCACTCAACATGGGAAAATCTCACTCAAAACGATCTCCAATCTCCTCTCCATCACACACTAATGGTTCTTTTACAACGACAAAGAAACAAACATCCCCATCGTTGATATCAACCAATTCTCGCTCAAATAGCTTTCTTAATAAAAGAATTTCATCATTTTCATCATTTTCCATGAAATCGTCACCATGTCCACCATCGGGTAGCATATCAACCGCACCAAATACGCCCGGTACTTTACGTAGTGTATTTATAGACTCTTCGGATTATTATAATAATAATGATTTATGTATTCATGACGTTCAATTATCAGAATCCCCTTCATCAGAATATAAGTACATCAATGGTAGACGTTTTCATAATATTGATTCGGTAAAGTATTCCTTACCAAATGATGATGCCGAAATGGATAGATTAAAATTGCAACATTATTTATTCCGTTATATCTTTCAAGGCAATTTTTCTTCTCCTGTTGAAGAAATATTGAAGATTGGTGGTACTGAAGTATTAGATTTAGGATGTGGACCTGGAACTTGGTTATTTGAAATGGGTGATAATTTTCCAAAATCGAACTTTACCGGCGTCGATTTAACAAATACCTTGTCAGGAAATGATTCTTTTCAATTTCAAAATGTTACATTTGTTAAAGGAAATGTGTTGGACGGTTTGCCTTTTAAAGACTCTACATTTGATTATGTATTTATCAGATATTTAAGTTTTGGTTTCACTGAACAGGATTGGAAATATGTCATAAATGAGATTATTAGGATCACCAAACCTGGAGGTTGGTTTGAGGTATGAGATTGAATGATCAATTTTTTTTTTTTTTTAAAAATAAATTTTTTTAATATCTTTACTCATTAGTTTATGGAACCAGAATTTAAATTACGTAACAATGGTCCCATATCCGAATATTTGAATGATGCAAGTAAGTTAGCTCTCCAAAATAAATACATTTTCCATATACATACTCATTTTATTTTCTCGATTTACCAGTGATAAAATATCTTGACTCACGAAACATATGTACTAACATAACAACAAAGCTGGAACAATTTTTAATGGACACTAAACAAGCTAATAAATTATTTCATGATGAAAAACCTTCCAATTTTGGTTCATGTAATGGGTAAATATTTATGAATTCCAGTTTCAATTTTTTTTTTTAGTAAAAGAAAAACTTTGCGTTAATCTTTGATTATCATACATAATAGACGATTCGGGGAATTGGCTTGCAATGACTTTATTATGATCATGCGTACAATAGAGCCTCGTTTATTACAAATTATTGAGACAAGTAACGAAGAATTTGATCAATTATTACAAAGTATACCTGATGAAATGAATCGATTTAGTCCATTTTATATATGCCACCGTTATTGGGCACAAAAATTATTTCTTATGTAAATAATAAAACAAAAAAGTTATGTGTGAGATGAGTTTGGTTTGATATAATTTATGAAAAAGTAATATTTAATTTATATTTTATAATAATCTAATGTAATATAGTATTCTTGACTTATTTTTATATGTAATTAATTTAATAAGATTTCGGTGTCTTTTATGGTACGAGAACTTTTCAGTTAAGGTGTACGGAATTTTGGCTAACTTTAGAATTATCATATCTGATACGGTAAATGTGGAACGAATAAAATTTGCCTTCTTAAATAATTGATTTATTTCAAGGGCATATTCAACCTTTTCGCAACTTTATAAAATATTATAAAATTCACTATTCATTTGTTCAATTAAAAAAAGTGTTTGATGATATAAGATTACCATTCGAATTAGGATTCGGAATTCAATAACCTAACGATAAAAAACTGAATCTAACCCTATTTAATATATGGATTTGGGATTATGGCTAGACACTTACTTGTCTTTATACAGTATCACAGAATTTAATTTATAATTCGAAGATCAGGATAGCGATTATGCATTTAATTTATCATATAAGATTCTCGGATATTGGCGTTATAAACGTGACCGATCGTTAAGTCAATTTTTTTTTTTTTTTGAAGAAAAAATCCTCCAAATTAAATAAATATACACTATTCCATTTTTATTTAATTATTGATTATATTTATTATTTGATGTTTTCTAAAATTTGTATGAATGCAGAACTTCTTTGCATGACTGAATTTCTATTTATGCACGGATGTTACACGTAAATTTAAATAGGGGATACAACAGGGGGGCCGTCATCGGTTACACACAATTTTGCGACGAATAGGATGTCAAGGAAATTCAAGTGATGAAGAAGAAAAACATGGTTTTACAAACAGCTTTAATACAATTATTAAACACACAATATTTAAAGTCTTATATATAATGTAACTAAATCAAAATACTAGTGGCAAGAAATTCTTTTATTATATAATTCTAATAGATTCAAAAATTCTTAAGAATGTTTTTACATATAATTTTCTATAATTATCTAACCTGATACATTTTTATTCTGCATTTTTATTACAAGAAACAAAGCCTTAAATTTGTATTGAATTTTAGTTAGCTTTATTTTCTTTGTAGACTTGATTCTATTAGAGTTTATTTGAAATTT